GTTGACCAACGTGACGTAAAACCACTTCTCGTCTACGTGGACGCAATCCAGCATGTCATGCCAGTGCATTTGTGTTCGAGCCTCGCGAAGAAATGAAAGAGCAAAAACAGCGCGGGCAGCCTTGTGTGTATCGATTAGCAATGGCTTGATACGGCTGGTTCGCCGCTTCAGTTTCTTGGACTTAAGAAGCCGCCAGAGAGTAGTTTTGTGGATGCCGCTGGCAGATGCCAACACCGCTAGAGACCTGCACAAGTGAGGTGCGACGTTCTTGATTGCTGCCTCTAGTTCTGCCAACGTGCGTGTAGGCAGCCTGCCCGAACGTCCTCTCTTCCTGCGAGCAACGTTAGCAAGACCGGTGTGAGCCTTAGTATCTTGTCCACGCGCCAGATCTTCGACAAGGTTTGTCTAGATACGCCGTACTTCTGTTGCAGCTCCTGTGCCTTGCGGTGGGGAAGGCGCCTGCCAACTTTGAGCTCCAGGAGCTCGAAAAACGGACCCGGTCGTCGTCGGGTACGTCGTGGGTGGTTGCCGGACGTGGCATGTCCGTAACTTCACTCCCAGAAAGTTGTTTCTGGTTCAGAGGGGGTGCTAACCACATCTACGCTTCTAGACCAGTCGTTTGCGCTTGATTTGAGCTCGAATGGACAAGAATTGACGAAGTTACGGATGTTTTACGATTGGCTGAGTGTTTCACAAAAGTTTAGCGATTGGTTTTGAAGTGAGATGGAGCAATAAAAAATCTAAAAATACTGGGATGTTCGTCTTTCAATTGGCTACATTCGTGCAAGGTTGGAGCCTATTTTGATTATTTTCACCAGAGAAATGATATTGTGAGCAACATGTCTCCGGTTTTACGGAAGAGAGGAAGTATAACACTACAAAGGAGTAACATCACAGAAATTATCTCACTTGTAGCCAAATTCTTGGATCTCCGAATTCTTCAATACCACCAGCGCCATTCGTTTCATGCGGGGGGTTTACCCCGACAACCCTCACACCGACGACAAGATGACAGCGGACTACCAACAACGCATATATGTATGAACGCCAATCTCTTCATCAATATGAATTGGCTCAATACCAATTTCGTGCAATACACTTATGACGTCGTCTACATCATCAGGATCACTCAGTGAGACGTCTTCAAGCAGAGAGGACAGCTCACGTAAAGCCATTGCATCGCTGACCTCGATTGCAGGTTGGTGCTCCATGGCGTCACTGTCTACTATGAGCATAGCGTGACCAGCATCATACACCTCCCGCGGGCATTCGACGTTTCGAGGTAAGCTTCCGTGTCTTGCCATCTTGTCCTTTGACATGTGTGGCAACTGTACGTGTTGTCACCTCCAGTCCTGAGGGTCTCGACAAAGCAGCATTGCAAGGTCAGGATGGTGCGGTCAAGGCGATCGTAAGGGTACACGCTGAACGCCTCATGTACGTGCAGTACCAACTCGTCGGTTGACCGTGCAGACTTCTGATACTGTAGCGATAGCAGCGAGGCAATGAAGCCGAGGTCGAGGATGTTTGTGTCGGGGGAGTTCGGTGGCTGTGAGGCAAGCTCAAACGACCAGCCACGAACCCTGTACTGGGCTAACTCGGAGCACTGTTTTGCGTCCAACGCCGCGATGTGGACCCTCGCATTGTTGTGTTGGATCAATATCGACTTGTCCACAGATGGCCACTTCTGAACAACCGCAGGTAAGACCTTGCTAACCAGGAACGATCGGTGCACATCCCACCATTGGCTTCGTCTCAGTGTCCCCGCGACTCAATTCGAGCTTTTTCGTTAGGCCAGGGTAGTCTCCACGAATGGCCAAGTGCCAATCTTGCCATCCCACCATGATTCAGTGTTATCGACGTACCGCGGCCGAGGAGCCGCCGTGAAGAACATGACTTTGGTGAGAAAGCGCTTATTCTTACATTTGCGCTCGGGTTCACTCTCTCCAGGTACAAGGTAGTACTGTACGTACGAGTTGTCTTTGTAAGGTAGAACCATTTGTCTTCAAAGTGGACGTAGTTCAGAAGCACGTTGAACTGCATGTCTGGCCGAATGAAGCTCATGGCGAACGAACTTCATATGAGTGTACTTGTTCGTCCCCGTCAGCACGGGCTTGATTGCATTGGAGTGGGATCGAAACATGCCCAGCTTGAAGTACCGGTGAAGTGATCTTCTACTTATTCCTATACATGTGTGCAATGCAATGTCGTTTAATGTGTTGAATATCATTCATTCGGTTGTTTATCATACCAGTTTGCGCTGAAATAGCTCGAATTGTAGTTCGATTGGCAAGTGGCACTTGCAATAGTTTCACTGTCACTTCAGCAGCTGTGAAGGCAAACTTTCCGCCCACTTTACCTTTCTTCAGATTGGAGACTGACACATTCATGTTGCCTTCCGTAACTCCTTGGTCCTTGGCACGAGCAAGGACTTTGCGAATCGTGGCAGCATGGCAGTTGTACTTGCTAGCTAGGTATTGGCCAAAACCATTTGGAAGCCTTGCGGAGTAGACACCATTACTCTGTAGCAAGATTTCACGAAGGATGGCTTCGCGCTCCTCGTTTATCAGGTCCCGCCTTCCCGTTCCCATGTCGAAAAAATGCATGTTGAGAGTGATTGTATCGCATGATAAATTCTATTAACATGCTGTGCCCTAAAATTCGACATGTTAAGGTGTCGACGGCGCTACATTAGATAAATCAAATGAAACCTCCATTAGATACATCAAATGAAAGCTCTTGGCGCGCTCTGTCTAGTCGTTCAATCAGGACAACGAAATGTGCTACGGGGAGGGATACAAATCATTTTGAAATTAGCAGAAAAATATAATGACCAGACATGTACTGTACACCCTCCTCAAAGTCGCGCAATTATTGTGGTACGGAGGGAGTATACTTATACTTTAGAGGTGATTTTGTAACAATACGTGACCATATTGCAACTAGGAAGAACGAGAGGCAACACGAATTGTTACAATATACACAAATAGTACTTCCTCTGGTCAGTAATAGATGCAGGCGAAAATTCATTGGTATACAAATTTGAAGTAGAATGATCTGTATATTAAAGAGATTTACACTTCCATGACATTGACCAGAGATGACAGTTCATACATTCTATCGTTCTCTTCGAGACGCAAGCTCATCATTTCCAAAGCAATAACGTCTCCCTCGGTCGCCTTGAGGCATGAAATCTTAAGTTCCTTGTCGCCATTGATGTCGATAGCCACATGCATAACACGCTTCCACGTTTGTAAGGTCTTTTCCAAGGTCTCGCAAGGTAGGGACGCGAACGGTTCTTCCAATGCTGCAATCAACTCGACCAGCAGGACCTGAATCGAGTAGAAGTTAAGGTCCAGCACGTTGAAGTCTGGGGACTGTGGTGGCTGGCACATTAGTCGGAAATCCCATCCACCAGCGGCAGCATGCTGAACTAACACAGCATTGTCAGTGGCAATGTGCGGTCGGGCATTGTTCTTGCTGCAGATGAATGCGCCAGGGCCCGTCATCACAAATCCAACTCACGACGACTTGATGGTAGGTGGGACAGTGCTAACAAGGCAGTCACGATAGATAGACTTTGTCACTTTGATTGTAGACAAACCGGGAGAACCAGCGGGACTATTTGCGCTTCTTCGTTGAGCAACGGTGGTTTCAACAATCGACCAGCAACCCACCCTTCCGTCCCAGCCCCCAGCCTAGCCTAGCCTTGGTCGAGCAACAACTACAAGAAACATCACCTTCGTGATGTGCGACTTGGATTGCAGTGATCGTAACGGCGCGATTTCGCGTGCCACATGTAGAAGCGATGACGAACCTTTGTGAGATAAAAGCATTTTTCATCAGTATGAACGACATTTTTACGTATCATTGAATTCACGTTGACCTACTAGTGATAGGTGCGACGAGGGGAACACCATGCGCTGCGACTTGTGTCCGGTTTTAGCTTCGGCTTCGACCAGCTAGTACGCGGCATGGTCCACTTTTGTGGAATCAAGTTACAAATCGTCCACTTCGGCAGTCCCGTAGTAACCGCCAGAGAACGATGCGTTTGGCGACGATGCATTGGGGTGACCTTGATTCACTGCTTGATTTCGTCCGTCGTGTAGGTCTTTCTCCGTCCGGAAAAGTGCTTTCTTGACATCATGTTGGCACACGTGCTGGTGGACTTGCTGTCGTTGCCGCGCTTCCATATGCCCCACCCAGTCGACGAATGGACGCCAGGGGCTTTGCAAACTGTCTTCATCTTCTCGCGGGACAGCATTCCGTTGGTGCAGACTGTGAGCAGCCCTGGTACAGAGCCGTTTCTATTGAGAGTAGTCGTGGACGAAGCTGGTGCAAATGTAGACCCGTCACACCAACGTCCAATGGCTGGCACACACTTGAACAAGTCGCAAGCAATGGTTCCAATATGCTGTGAAGGTCTCCTAGCACAGCGGAATTGCTCTTTGGAATGCAATTTCGCTGGAAAAAGGCGGCTATTGTTCGTCGAACGACGCAAGACGCTTTCGCTTCTCGCCGAGGGTGGACGACTTGTGATAGTTCGGCATAGCATGGAGTATGAACTCTGCTTATGTATGACGTGCATAGCAACGAGTTTGAACTTCAAAGCTTTAACCAATCACAGCATTTCTATTTTGCACTACAATTGGTCAAAAGACATGACATCTCTGACGTTGTATTGAATTATACAGGCGGTAGAATTTGAAGAACAGATCATGTTGTAGAGGTGGTCAGCTTCTTTGGTGGTGTCGTCAATTTCTGGGCTCGCTGTAATGCGGATTTAATGGCTGTGAGATTAATGGAGTTGTTACTGTACAGTACACGACGGAGATCTTTCTCCAGTGGTACTTCACATTTTCGTACTATGGATGTTATCACACCAAAGCGGAAACAAACAGTTCTTAAAAAATCCACTCGTGATAGAGATGATGGCTTAGTTGACTTGCTTCAAACTTTGCAAGCAATGGAAACAGCATGTTGCTTGCTGAAATTTGAACATACGTTTGTCCACATGTCGTTGATAACGTCGGCGCGTATCACTTGCTTGAAGGGCCGGAACACAGAAACGTCCAATGGCTGGAACAAGTGTCTCTAATTTGCTGGTAAAAATGGGAGCAAAATGCCAAGACTTTGAGCTTCGCCTTATATGATAAACTCGGGGTAATGTGAAGAACAATCGTCCAAGATCAATAACAGCTCCTAAGTTGATTCCGGGATTGGGTCGTTAAGAAGTGTGCACAACTTTTGACAGTTGAACGAGTTGGTCCATCCCTTTTCCGACGTTGTAACGCATGCGCCAGGTATCGTCAGACTGTCGCGCACATCAGTTGTCGCCCGATCTTCCTGCAGGATGAAAAGTGGCGGGATTTTGGCACCGTCACTGGCACATGCAAGGACTGTAAGGTGACACGAGACCGTTGACTCTTTGACGTAAACATGTTTCGTTGATTTGGCGATTACGTCCTTGACTACTCTAGAAGTTCGGATGATTTTGGCCGACCTCAACATTCCAAAATAGCAAAACAATTTTCAAGTGAATCACTGCCCGGGAATTAGATTTACATAGGAATATTTCAACGTTGAGAAATTGGAAGCGCAAATTGGTTGAATTCTTCAGTGATATGTTCTGCATAGAGCAGTGAACCACAGAAGACCTTTCAGAAGCAAGTTTTCCGAGCTTCGACTGGAGCATGGATCAAGAGATGCCCTTGAGAATTGCCCTTGCCGGTCAGGAATGACACGAATGTCCTTAAGGTAACTTGTGCGGAATGTTCTGCTGTTAGCAGAACAGTGCATCTTGACCGTGGTGAATAGTTTGTTCAATTGCATTGATCTCGTACAACGTATTGGCCTGGTTTGCCGAGTCCTCGTGCGACTGCTGCGAGGATCGTTGTGACGACATTGTGTTGCTTGATGACCATCATGTCCTCATGTTGAGGTGTGCCAGCGACCAAAATTCAATCTCCGCACTTCAGATAGTGTCTGGACAGGATAGGGGCTTCCACCGCTTCTTATTTTTGATATATTAGCCAATCATCACTTCATATGTTTGGATTGACCAATATTGTCGTTGCATGATACGATTTGGTGGCGTGATTCGATTCGACGAGGTTTGGAAAATTATTCCAAATCAACAATATAGTCAATTTTTGTCCGAAGTGATTGTTACAATCAACTTTAGATTGGCGGGATATTATTCATTCATAGAACTCCATCGGTATCAGTAGCCTACAGAGAAGTACAAGAACTTCTCTTTTATTGACTGCCATCCGTGGCTGAACCACCAATTCTCACGATAAACACCAACCCCCACATCATCACGGTAAACCGGGCAATCTCTCCACGTTTCCGAGTGCAAGTCCAAGCCAGGGTAGATTCCCCCACGAAATTACAAGACCCCCTCTTTCATTGATTGCCATTTGAGTTTTTTAATGCGTTTTGCTTCAGAAATTATGACCCGTCAAACTTGACGGGAGTTTTATATGGAAGTGCACAGATTGACCCGCTAGTGATTCATTGTTACATTTACTTCCGCAAAGCAACGCAAGGACATACCTATCGTGGATCACATGCCTGCTGCTGCTGCTGGTTTACGTTCCCTTCGCAAAAATTATTACGATGCATCGCAGAACCGCAGCGCCGAACAGTGTCGGAGCATCTACAAATATCGACATTAACCAAAGAACAGCTACAGAACAGGTCATTTGAAA